CGGAAAGCACCAATTTTGCAAGAAAGGTTTGAAATGAGGGTGTAAATATCAAGTTTGAAACAATGAGGATCATTTTCGTGATGAATACAAATGATATGGATGTTTTTTGCTAATTACCCCAATACAAAGGATAGAATCTAAATTTTATTTGGCTCCTTGCATAATACTTTCCATATTATGTATTAAGGGCACGATTGACACATTATAGTTTATTTTGACAAAACTTAAATTATTATTTAAACCTGTAATTACTATCATGCACTTATTATCTACATATTTCGTAATATCTACGACATATTATCACTCAAACATATAGCACCTGTTTGATAAAATTTGATGAAATGTGTCATTGAAAAATTGTGATTTCTATGAAATATGTAGTTAAAATTAATTATTAACTTTTACTTAAATTAAAATTTGGATTTTGATCCATACATAACAGAAACGTAATATTTAAAAGTATAAAGACGAAAATTGTATTAATTCATTGCCATTCGATAATGAATGAAATTGTATTAATTCAACAGAAACGTAATATTTAGTTCGTATTGTCCAATTAATTTATACTAAACATGTGTTCATTAACTCGTCCATCACCATATTACGTGAATAGTGGAATCATTGCCATTCGATAATGAATGAAATTAACCCATTCGTACAATTGTTGTCGACAATTATGATTGACAACATTGATATTGTCAAAATCTAGATTATTAATTTAAAAATTAGTTTTTAAAATTGATAAATGTTATTTTAAGTGTTAGTTATCAACTAAGATCGTAAAAACAAAAAGAATAAAAATAAATTATACAAGTAGCATGATTGTAATGAATGAACACCACTGATAATAAATATTGCAGCTTTGTTATAATGACATGTTCAATGTCACATTAAAAAACAGAATGATACGTGTCAATATATAATTGGACAATTTGAACAACACTCCATCAATTGTTGCCACCTCACCCTGTCACTCAATTTTCTATCAATCACCCTGGCCAAGCAGCATTATTCTGAATATTGTTATCAATCGACAATGATTTATGAGACTCTTCGACATGACACAACATAAGGTAATTCATCAATTTTTCAAACTATGATATGAAATTAAATAAATCGACATATTGTACGATCTAATTTAATACATTAAGAGCATGTTTGAGCCTCATTTTTATGATGAAAATGCATTTTTGAATAGTATTTTGATGGAAAATGTGTGATTAAAAAATAATAAAAGATTTTAGATTGGCGCATAATATTATTTTATTAAAAAACGTGTGATTGAACATAAAAGAGAGAAAAATGTATTGTTAAAAGAATGATTATCAAAAGAGCGGTGCTTCTTGTACGGAAGAAAAAGCAACAGAGATTCACCAGAATAGACTCACATGTGGGTCCCGCACCTTTTTAAATACACGGTGGGCCTACTGTTTGTGTGTATTCTGGCCAATTTCTATAGCTTCTTCTCCTGTACAAGGGGAATAAACCTTATCAAAATGGATAATTATGCTTTACCAGAACAATTCACCTATAGAAAGATTACATAAAAATTAGCTTCCTAAAATACCCTCTTACATAAGATTTGCAACTAAAGCCACCATAAAAATATAGAGACTTCAATCAAGTCCCCAAAAATTTATGAACCCAGAATCTTTGATAGATTTTATTCTAGATATTATTTAATATATTATTTAATTAAGTATCATTTAATTATAAATGAGGAAATATGAATTCCATAAGATGTGTAATGCATATAAAATGTTAAAATATAGATTAACTATTA